CCCCAAAACCCCAAAACCCCAAAACCCCAAAACCCCATTTTAAATGTGCGAAATTGAGAGTATCATTTCCAAGCTTAATCATCATCATCTGACAATAATACTAGGACTGCTATTATCACTCCTATTACTATGATCACAATGTAAACAGCATATATAGCAACTCAAAAAGGGATCCAAAGAATGGCAAATAGTAGATAAATTGAGAGAGCAATTCAGATGCAGAAGTTTGTCTGTCAGTTGTTTTCATTTGAGAACTTTCCTAAAATGATCCAGATAATGTAGAAAGGAAGAACCGGAAAGAGAAGCACCACCCACACCCACGCCAAGCTGTCCAGTCCCATCACTTCTCGTCCGTTCACTGCTTCTGGCTGTTGCAGTTGTGGCCTCTGGAATAACCCGTACCGCTCACCTGTTGTCCACCAGAACTCGTACTTGCACACACTGCACGTCATATGGTCGCAGCCCTGGTTCTTCTCGATGAGGGTGTCGCACTTGGGGCAAGGCTTGACCACTTTGTTGTTGACCAGAGTCCCCATCCTCCGCACCTGGAACTTGCGGCAGGACTTGCCTTCGTGCCAGGCTTCGTGGCACCCTGTGCAGAACGTGTGGCCGCACTCACATGTGGCTTTGTGGGTGGTCCCAGGCTTGATGCCCAGAGCTCTTACGTAGAGTTTGCAGCCTGGCTGTGGACACCAATACAAGTCTGTGTCTTTGTCGACCATATCATGGCGTTTGAAGCTGAGGAGTCTGCCGATGTCTGCACTGGAGAGCACGGTTTGAGCGAGGTCTTCACTGACAGCGCGATGACAGCTGGGGCAAGTGTTCTGGAGGACTTTGCGTCTGATTTGATGGCTGAAGTGTTGTCTTAGACATTCATATCAAAAAGTATGCTTTCACTCCAAAGTAACTGTTTTATCTGATAAATCTCCAAACTTCATATCTGCATTCTCATCATCCAAATTCTTTGTAATATCATTTACTCTAATATCACTCAATCAAATGGCACATGAAACCTAGACTATTACTAATCTCTTCTTTTTACAGCTACCTACCATTTTAAATACCTATTTAAATTTTTTATTTCAAATCTAGTTTGCTTTCCAGGGGTTTTGGGGTTTTGGGGTTTTGGGGTTTTGGGG